TTTTTCCAGAAAAGAAACTCCTACTTCAAGGCTCAAAAGGGGTTAACGAGGGTTTATCTCTCTTATATCTCCGGTGTTTAGGAATTGAAACAATTCCTGTACATCATCATTAGGGTTTTTATTCAAAAGCACGCTATTTGAAATCTTTGGTATATTACTCATTGTACTCCCTCTAGAGGTATTTTGCTTTATTTATAAGAGTTAAGTATCAAAAAGCAAAGAAAAACATTAATGAGTGAATACGAATGGATTAATTCAAGACAAACATACTCAATGCATTGCGATTAATATTCAAAAATCAACAAGTTTTGCATACAAGAAAGTACTGAACCAAAACAAAAAATATTACAAATGAGAATTGCAAATGAAACTAGAAATCTCCATGTTGAGGAGACTAGCCTCTGTATGGACTTGTTGCTTCAGACGATGATCTGACAGTATTTACATTTACTGAGTCAAAGGAGACCTCAAATCTGACTGGCTAGCCTGAAATTGATAGCCTTTACATCAAGCAGGTCTTGCACATTATCTTTGAATGGTTTACAACTTTCAGTTGAATGGTCAGGTGCCCCAGCATGGTAATCACATTCCACATTAGGATCAAAATCCACAGGATAAGTAGGAATGACAGGCTTCAGTGGCTTGGGTTCCACCAAGGAAAACTCGAGCGACTTAGGGAATAACCGATCATAAGTCATGGGAATAACGTCGAACCTACTCTTTGGTTTCCTATCTCTTTGCTTATCTTGTTGCATACGTCTTTGTTGATAGGTTTGCTGCTGAGTAGCATACCGAACTGGATGAACATGAGGAACATTCTAATTTTGATTAACCAACTGATTCCTATAACTTATAAACGGCTGTTGGTGGGAACTTTCTGGGTTTATAGGTTGTGGATGATGTGATTCAGGTCGTAAGATTGAACTTTGAAAAGGAGAGGGCGTAACCCTATTCTCTATAAAAGTTGGCATATGATTGATTTACACACTCATACCTTCGGGAGTAAAGAGAATTACCCCTGTATCAAGCAAATCCTAGACTTGGTGCTTAAAAGCTATGTAGTCTTAAGTATCATGACCATGTGCCCCAGAGTGGAATTCACACCTAGCATTAACGTCAAAGCCACAAGGGAGCCTTTCCTGTGCAGTGAATATTTGAATTTTAACCAAATGAAGTTCTAGCAGGCGAGGAAGCAATTGTGCATAAAACATTGGAATATAATCAAATTATCATTCAGGCTGTTTTGACCTCTACTGATGGACTTTTCCATTTGGGTCCTCTTGGGAAATGACAACTGGTTATGGATGGGAAGATCCTGGAATCCATGGTTGTGGAGGATATACTCCCTGACTTGAAAGAGTCCCCAAATTATAGGGAGGAATGGTAACTCCTATTGTAACATATATAGAACCATCTTCTTTCTTCAACATTGTCCCCAAAATTTCCATAACCAAACTCAATTGGGCCTTCATATTAGTGTTCTCCTCTCCAAGGAGTTCTTGTCCAAGGGCCAAATCCTGCAAGTCTAGCATCAAAAATCCCATTTGTTCTTTCATCTCGTCCAATTCCCCACGAAGTTGTTCCATAACTTGAATCTGATCACAGAGCGGTGAGAAGTCAAGATTTGTAGTTCTGAAAATAAAATAACGAGTCTGAATAAGGATTCCCCAGTCTGAGTACCTTTTGAGTACCTGCTATGGATGCATGAAGATGCATGAGGTGAATAAGCGGATGCAATGTCATGTTCAAACATTTTTTTTGCATACAATCTTTCACATTTCTTTTTTTTGTGTAAAATAAACATGATATGATGCAAGGTGCAACAACATAGATTCAAAAGTTCAGCATAGCAACTGTACAATCCTCTGGATAACTAGTGTATAAATCTTTTGAATAATCCGGATATCGCAGGATCAAAGGTTCGGAACCACTTTAAGAATATAATAGAAGCAAGTGCCATGAATAATTGTTGTATAATATCTGAATATGTTGAATATATTAGGATCAAAGGTCCAGAACATAACCATATAACTATAGTCACTGACAGAACATGGTCACCATCAGAACATAGTCACATTTATAATATAGTCACCATTACTACCTGTAATAATCAAGTCCTTCCCCACTCACGGGTAAAGACTAGGTCAGGGTAGGTCAAAGGTAACTCAAAGTCACGGGTCCTTCTGAAAGTATTACCGCCTTACCCACACACGTGGGTGTCCATAGTAATTCATTTAAACCTCATCCGAGAATGGTATATAACATGACTACACTAATCGGACCATGTCCTATAGCCGTCATGCCCCCACTCTATTCCTAGTGTCCTAGTGCACTCTGGCCTGGGTACTGGGCCTTTTACCTCAATAGTAACACCCACCTAACATGGAAAACCAGAATCTCGCACAACAGATAAATATAGAAAGAAATAAAATGCAATGCATACATATGCTCAGATAAAAATGTATAAATGAATAAAGTGAAAGCATAAAAAATAAACACTCAAAGAAAAGAAAACAAGAGCTAGGATCGACTTCGGGATGGACCAGTAATTGGTCAATCTAAAGATTCCACAGTGAAGTCGCTAGCAGAAATAACCAGCTTCACAATCAACTGATAATGAAATAAATGAAGTCGCCATCAAATAGTTTTTATCCCACGAGAAGGGAAAGGTAAATATCGAGTAAACCTGAGAAGGGTGAAATCAAGGTCAAACGACCAAGAGATAAGGGTAAGGGAGTTTGTTATGTGAGGGAAAGGTATTAGCACCCCATACACCTGTAGTACTCTACGGTATCCACTCTTGTTATCTATGTTATGGGTTATTTTAATATATGCTTACTGTTTACTACTAAGTAAGAATGCATGCAAAAGAAAGAGAAAATAATGTAAGGAAAATAAAAGTTGTGCTCGTTCGGGCCCTACCCCGATGCCTATGTATCCCTTTTAAGGAATCAGAGCAGTCGTAGTTTGCCTTCACATGTTTTTGTTGGTTTATATTTTTTAACGAGCATGATTAATTTCTCCTTCTGCCGCAACTCTACCTTTGGAGACTTACACGTCAGCACATAAGTGAATTAACATGTTCTTTTGAAAATATTTCGAAAGAAAAGCCCAAAGGAAAAAGAGTTTGTATTTGTTGGTGTTTTTGCTATGGATAACAGTTAATTGACCTCAAGAGAGAGATTTTGGCCACTTCTCCACTTATTTATGACATGAGTCTTTGAGACTTAAACCATACCAAGACATATAATGGAAGAACAGTAAGATCGAGAAGAGACCCGCTTATTATTTCCCATGCTCAACAAAGGTATGATTCTCATTAGTAATTTTTAAGTGTTTTGAAGTTCGCAAGAAAAAGAATTTTTGTTTTAATTCAAATGCAAGGGGGAAAGAAAAAGTCTAAGGGGAGACTAACCTAAATCTATCTCTAATGTTATCATACAATGATTGATCCTAAAGGTGATCTTTGATGGGAAATATCTACCCTAAGTTGACATGCTTGGATAACAATCCTAATGTCTATCTTAACTCATCATCTATAGATGAATCAAGAAGTCCTAAAGGAGCATAAAAAGGGTCTATCACCTAAAATTATGTCTATCTCGAATCATCATCTATAATTGAATCGAGAGCTCCTTAGGGAACATGCCGAGGGTATCTTATCTCAAAACATGCACACAAAGATGAAATCAAACAAGCAAGCCAATAAGCTCAAGAGAGCTAGCTCAAGATAGCACACCTAGAGAGATCCTATCTAGGCTAGCATACCAAAGAAAGTCTAACAAAAGCTATCCTATGTGAAACATGCCATGAGAGCGAAGTCGTGATCTCAATTTCTAAATTGATTAACTCATCTATCAACAAGAAATAAAGGAAAGTGATAAAATCCTATAGGGAGCATGCACTGAGAGTGAAGTCGTGGTCTCAATTTCTAAATTGAGTGACTCATCAATCAACAACGAAGGAAATAAACACAAACATAACACATATACCAAATGAAGTGAAAAATGCCTGCTACGGGTCTTTAAAGAGCGACTTCGAGCGCACACTCTTTATTTCCTACTTCACATGATATCTAGAAAGCAGTAAAGTGCAATATGAGATAAACAAGAGAAAATACCAAACGAATATCAATCTGTAGCGAAGCGTATCAAAACAAAGAAACTCGACGATCTTCACGAAAGGTTCACCAATAAAAAGAAAAGAGTCTGAAATCAAAAGTTCAGAATAAACGTCGAAGTATCATCAATGTGAAAATAAGTCAAAATCGAAATCTCAAGTGCATCCATATACCACACAATAAACCTGCACAAGACTCAAATCTCGGCAAGCAAAATCGAATCACAAAATCTTGACAAGAAAATGCTTACCAAACGTAAACAATAATAGAAAATTCCAACTAAAATTAGAAACAAAGAACTCCTAAAAAATTTCTATTAAATTCCTAAAAAAAACAATTAAAATTTTTATTGTTATTAACATTTTTGCTGAACAAAATTTAAGAGAAGAAAATTACTAAAAAGGAATTCAAAATTAATTACAAATAGAGGTGGGTTTTTTTGACTGAATTGGATGTAAGATAGAAGAAAACTCTAGGCCCATTGCAAAGGATCCAACAAGCCCCCTTTTTTTTTAGAGATAGTCTAGTTACAAAAAAAAGAACACCAGCAATTGGGCTTTAGGGAGAATTTCGGCCCAGACAAATCATCAACAGCCTCTTTATTCAGATTTTTTTATGAATAATAAAAAAAATTAAAAGAAAAAAACAAATAGGAAGAGGGATTAGGGTTGAAGGCTTGCATCGTTTCAGCTCTCAAAAAAATTCTCTTCGTCTCCTCGAATTCGCAACCGCGAATGCCGAATCTTCTCTCCGTCGTTCTCAATCTTCTCTGATTCTGCCTCTCTTTGTTCCACTGTCTTGCAATCTCGCATTCATCCATTTGGAAATAAGCTTACACCTTCCTTCATTCATTGTGAACAGAAGCCCTAACATACTCAACATGCGAGCGATTCAAGTAGATATTTCTGGGGGATTTACTTTTACTATTCATCTTCTACCGATTCTCATCAAGAAAAGCAGAGAAAGAAATGAACAAAATGTGGAAATTTGGTGTTGTTTACCTACCGGAAGAACTGTCCGACGCTTATTCAACAATCATTGTAACGATAAGAAATCCGGAGGTCAATTCTCTAATCTATTATTCTTCTTCATCTCTTATTTTTGTCTTAATTTATGTGATTCTGTGATTATGTGATTCCATGAGGTTATTATTGATTCTACGCAACTTGATATACTTACAAAATAGGGCAGAAGTCTGAGTTTATGATGAGGATGCAAATTTGCAAATTCGTTGTTGTTACGGATTTGTTAAAATACCAGTGACGAAGATTGAAATTGTGCAGCGATAGTATGAAGCTCTGCGAATTGAAGTTTGTTGAAGTTGTATTAATAATGAATATGAAGCTATTGTGGTGGTTCATTGAAAGATTTGGTTATGGTGATGAAGACGCGAGGAAGATGACGAAGTGTAGTTGTTACGGATAAAGTGAGAAGAGAAGGTGCAAAGGTTTAGAAGATGGATAAAGATGCTAGTGAAAGGGATGAAGACTACAGATAAAGAAGAAGGAAGAAGAGAGTGAAGAGAGAGATTTTGTGATTCTTTTCAGAGTTGGAGAGTGAGCCTTGAATGCAGGTAAGGATCACTTATATAGTTTGTTAAATCCGTGAAATATTAGTTAAAAACTAAATCAATCTGAAGTGTTAATATGAATGTTAGTTAGTGATTTTGATGGATGAGATTGGAGATGGTAATTAGTTATGTTGAATTATGTTTTGAGAGTGATTTGGTTAGAGAAATATATTATTGTTGGTTTTTTCTGTTAGGAGTTTGATATAGTTTTTTATTTGTGAACTGGAATGAGGCTTAGGATTAGTTAGAGTTAGTTAATTGAATGGTTAGATATGGATTATGTTATAAACTGAATGGTCAAGATTTGTTCTGATTTTTGAGTTAGTTATATGTTGATGAGCTGGAAAATTTTCTGTTATAACTCGATTAATCAGCTGGCTTTGATAATAGAAAATGTTGGTTGCAGTTAGTTTCTAATTCTATTAGAGAATTACAAATGAAAAAATCTGGCTGCAAGTTGGAAACCTGTTGGTTCTGTTATTGGATATGGTTTTGTTAGCCCGTTAGAATATAGGGGCGGTTCATGATAACAGTTTTATGGTTTCAATATAGGGGCCTGTTTCTAAACTGTATTGGGCTGGCTTTAGAGCATGTTTTCGGTCTTTATAATGAACTAATTTTGAGTTTTTTTACATGCAGGGAAATGCGTCTGTTTATTTATGCAGGTTGCGGGTTTGTGTGGGAATTTTAACTAGTTTTGTTGAATTGAATGAGTAGGGCTATAGCATGATTTGTATGGTTTGATCCAATGGTCCATGGTGTGAAGCTAAAACTAGCATGGCATAGCAAGATGCATCGAATTTGGAGGCATGAAGTTTGACATGAAGCTCATAGAATTAGGACATTCGTTAACTTGTAACATTTTTATAATTTTCTTTGAAATGCGACATAGGTGATATTATTGGTTTTTGGATGTAATTGAATTTTGGTTTATGGTATTTGATGTAATATATTCATGAGTTGGATTGAAATTGTCACTTTTTATATGGGATTTTGAATGGTTGAAAGTGTATATGTTCTAGTCTTGATTTTGTAATAGCCATGGTTGAATAAAGAAAAGAGACTTTGAATTAATTCACTTGTCTTTCAATTTATTCTCTTATGCTTATATCTTCTCAAAATGGATCTTGAATGAATCACGATCCCTTCCTTAACCTCAAGTTTAAAATCTTCTTTTTGTACCTCAAACATCATTCAAACTCTAAGCAAAGTGAATTGATGAATCACTTGTATTATGAGTACAAGAAAACCAAGAAAATTATCCACAAGTCTTGTAACATCTCTTGCATATATCTTGTTCTTCAAGAAAGTTAAGGGATTTATCCTTGAATCACATTAAAAAAATTCTATTCCAGGTTCATCTTAAATCGATCCTCAATGCAACTCAAGCGTTCATGATAAGACTTAAAAAGGCGTGCTTGATCAATGAACCCATAGACTCAAAATTGAATCTCAACTCCCAAACGCTTTATATCTTAAGTCCATAGTTAACTAGAAAAGCAACTTTGAAACATGATACATATATCTCTAATTGATGAAGTCAGGAATAAATGATTCCACCATATTAATTCCATAACCAACCTCTGGGAGCTTCAACAACGAATGTACTTTTCGATTATTTTTGGATAGAACCAAATGCTCATCACTTAAGAAAAAACTTCAGATGAAAGTCAAGCTTTTGTAAGAAAGTCCAAGAAGTGATGACATAACTTGTAACACGAGTGATAGATGGATGTCCTTAATTCTGAATGAGAGAGAATCAAGATTTCCATAAGATGCAACCCTAAACCTTGATCCTTGGAGATGAAACCTTAACCGAACACAGTATCTGAAAAACCCTGACTTTGACTGCACATAGTAAAGTAAATCCTTATGGCCTTATCTCTTAAGGAAAAAAGAAGTTCAAGGTAACCACAAGACACAACCCTAATTCCAAACTTCACTGCTTGCAGAATCACCAAAATAGTTAGAAGTAATCAACTTTATCAGGTGTATACACTTTAATCACTGTGAAACCCTGATGTCGCACAACCATTAAACTTTTGCAACTTTGGTGCTTTTATTGAATGAAATGCATGTTATGATAATGACCTAATGGAATATATGCAGATGAATGCAAATGTCTAAGTCAGATAAAAGAAATTAGGAGAGAAAATTTTGGGGTGCAACATAATGCAACATGGAAATATGCACCTATAGTTTCTATTTCTAATAATGTAGATACAAAAGTAATCAACAAAACAATTATGCAGCCTAAACTGAAATTGACCTTATTCTATTCACTACGCCAAAAATAAGTTACGAAAGCACTTTTTTTGGCCTTTAAAAGCGCTTAAAAGCGCTTTCTAAGGTGGCGCTGCTATAGGTTTTAGCAGCGCTTTTTGTTTAATGAGAAGCGCTTTCATAGGTCTACCTAAGGCAGCGCTTTTTTCTGGAAAAGCGCTCTCATAAGTTTTCTTTTAGCAGCGCTTTTTTCTGGAAAAGTGCTGTCTTAGTAGGTAGGCTTTTAGCAACGCTTTTTTCTGGAAAAGCGCTTTCATAGGTGGTCTTTTAGCAGCGCTTTTTCCTGGAAAAGCGCTGTCATATGTTTACCTTAGACAGCGCTTTTTGTGAAAAAGCGCTTTCATAGGTTACCTAAGGCAGCGTTTTTCTTGATACAGAAAAAAGACTGATTTTAATTATATGGATGCAAATAAAATAGGATCATTTATTGGGTTATAAATAGAGTTGTCCAATTAGAAACATTAAAACTGAACAAAACCAAAAAAGAAAGAAAAAAAGGTGACAATGTGATGCTGTAATTAAAGGGTAAAATCAGTTATTCATAGTTTTCTTAAACAAATATTCCAAATTATACAATTATAAAATACAAATTTTACATCGTCATTACTGAAAAAATCACTAAACTTGTCTACCGAAGACTATCCCAAGCCTGCCATATGAAATCAGTTTCTTCACAACAACAATACAATATAATCCATAAGGCATATGACTTAAGAATTGATGAGTAGCTTACTTGACTAGGATAATAGAATGGTAACTCGTACTGCAAGAAACATGAAACAATTAAATAAACGTTAGCACAAGAATATCTTTACTTTCTAATATTCCAATGAAACACACATAAAAAAAATCGCAATCCTACCATGCCCTCTTTGTAGTCCTTGCCTATTTTCCTCCTACCAGGGTAATAATCTTGGTCTAGCTGTCACATTCATATCAAAGTTAGCATTAACAATCCACATAAACCAAAGGAAAAAAAATCATGAATGCTAGTTGCATTTTCCAGACCCTAACATATACTGTGGCCTGAATACTGCCCAATTGTCAAAAGTTTCTTCAATGTATTTCTCAACTCCAACATGACCAGCATCTTCTTTGACAGCACCCTGCTCCTGTTTACCGTGAAAATTGGTAAACAACCACTGATCTTCCAAAAGGTTACTTATTTGGTAACTAGCAGGATTGATTAGATTGATCCTAAGACATGGTTGATTTTCTGGAGTTTGACTAATCCCAATGGTGATTAATGCCGGTAAAGTAAAGACACTTTAAGTAAATTGCATGAAGAAAAGCTTAATAGAATAAATAGAAGCGTTAAGTAAAAGGCTTCGACGGAGATAAGTAAATGAAAAGCGATAAATTGCTTGAATATAAAATACTTTGATTAATTTAAATGGTGTTTCACACATACATTCTCAATGATTCTTTCGCTCACGTTGGGTACTTGAATCTAAATGAGTGACTTGTATAAGATGATGAACACACGCGAAAACTACGTGAACAACTAGTATTTATACTAAAACAAATCCTAAGTAACCGTTGGGCAGTTACGCTGCTTCGAGATGACGCCACATGGCACGCTCACACCCTTCGATGCTTCTGTCCTCGGCACGTTGCTCTTGGTAACTGCTAGGAACCTTTTTCCCTCCAATAATTCAAATCTCAAACCGTTCGACCTTGGGCATCAGGTACCTTTGTCGAGAGGTTCCTTCGACGTCGAAGACAACAAGATTCCCACTTAAAGGAATTTCTCTAAGTACCTTGTCATTCTTTGATGAGCCTTCGACATGATCAGCTGGTCGAAGCCTTCTTATGTAGAAAACTCTCCTGACTCATAATTAATGGTCTATATGATAAAAAACAAGGGTGTCAAATTTAGGAGCCAACAAATTTCCCCCCAAGAATGTCTTATTTCGACGCTAAAAAGAAAAAGGCATTCTTTGATATTCCACTCGACACCTGTCCTTCACTCAGCCACAAATTAGTTTGTGTGCTTTTCGTCTCCTACCAACCAACTGACAATCTCACAAAGTCATCATTTCACCTATTCCCAAGACGTCACTTCAGTAAGGCATTTGGCACGCCCGATGTCCCTTCACATATTGTCATCATGACAATCTCCCGAAATCGAGGACGCACGCTGCACCGTTTCCGTTCTTCAGAACGGCTACATCACCAAATGAGCGCCACGTGCCCCACTCTTGTCTGAGACATTAAATGACCTCGAGTCTTGTGATTTTTCAATCACTATAAATAGCACTAAGTGCCCCTTGTTGGACTCTTTACGCTTTCCTTCATCCAAGCCTTAAGTCGAACAAAACTTCCTGCAAGCAAACCTTTGCTTCTTCCTCTCCAAACCCAGAAACCTTTGTTCTTCATCCATCTTCATCTCAAACCAAAAAAATGGCTT